AGACAGCCATAGCTGGGGCTGTGCTCAGCGCATCTATCCCCAGGGGATATCTGTGTTCGGCAGGACTATTGGAGGGTCTTCACTGAGTGCATGTGGGTACTGCTGCTGCGGTAGCAGCCAGGCAGCCATAGCTGTCTTCTTCATCGTCAGAGTGACTCATCGGCACTGGGGACTACTTCGCTGTTCATGATCTGCATCTGGGTGTATGGCGCTGGCCTCTGGGAGGCTGATACTGTGCAGCGCTAGACTCTGAGAGTGTAGTAGTGAGTGGAGTGTGTGGTTCTGGAGTGGCGAGATACTGGGTTGAACTCTGTTACGATAATTGAGGTTAACTGTGTTGAGTTGGCTCATCATCTGGGTTAATTTCCAATTGTGATCTTTGCAGTGTCAATTGTGATTGGTTGTTGGGAGTGTGTCAGGGAGAGAGAAACACTGAGTGTGTTCTCACCTTCTATGCATATTTGCTATTCCGCTGTTTATCTCTGATCTGTGTGCAGTTGGACCCTGTCTCCTTCTCCCCTTTGTCTCATGCATGTATGGGCGTGTGTGAGTACTTCTGAGTGTGAGTGGCAAGCAAATTGTCAGACAACCAAGTTCATAACATATGTGTCTATAGGCTATGTGTATGTGCCCGTAAACTGTATCTGTGTGGAACTTGTGCAGTTCTGTGTATGACAGGCCTATCTGTGCTAGAAACCGTCCATAAAGTCCCAAGCGACACTCGAACCTATGCTCATCATCATGTAACACTTGTGCTCAACCGTATGTGCTACAGTCTCAAATGGTACCAATGTGCGATATGGGAGGGTGGGGAGATCATTAGAACAACCTGTGGCCGACGCCCTCAGGCAACTCACTCATAGTCAGGCCCCGACATACAACAATCCTGGACTAAATCCCTTGTGCGGTGCAGGCAGTGTCTGTAATCCTTACCGTGCACCAACCCAAAGGATGAGTGTGTACAGCCGTGCGTCAGTCAATGCCCGCCGGTGTCCGTGCACGAGGCTGCAGGGTTTTGAACCCACAACCCCAAGCCACAGTGCGCATTTCCAACCGGTGCCCTACCCACTGAGCTAATCGGCTGCACTTGATGTTTCCATGTCTTAAAGGGCCCATAAAGTGCATATGGTTCTTTCTCGCATAGGTAGACACTGCTGTGTTCTCAGCTGGAGTACTTCGACATGAACTCTGCAGGGCGATATTGTTTCCCATCTTGCTGCAGTACAACACTATCCCGTATGGACTGCGATGGGTTGTGACAACGAACGGTAGGGATGGTGTGCTATCTTAAGGACTGGGTAGTTGGTTAGTGCCTTCTTCAAGTCCTTGAAGGTGGACTCACAATCTTTGTCCCAGATCCCTATCCTTTCCTTCTGCAGTAGTCTTTCTAATCTTGTTGCTACTATCCAGAAATTTATGTCGAAACTTGAGTTCCTATAAAATAATAAAAGTTAGCGTGCCCTAAGAAGGATCTAAGCTCAGAACCCTTCATCATCGGCTTCCCTCATGTCCTCAATGATTAACAAAATGCACAGTTGGCAAGGAATCCACACCTCACTCCTAGGCAGGGTATTAGCGTTAAACAACTCAATATTGGCAATGATGTGGTACACTACCTCCATCTGGTTTCCATCCCCTGACTTCCAAATGCAAATCAGGAGAAGGGCAGCCACTTTCCTATGGACCGGAAACCTAGATAACCAGCACCGCATCCACCAAGTAGCATGGCAAATAGTCACACAACCCAAGAAAAAGGGGGGACTGGGAATTCTAGATGCTGATCGCCAGATATAAGCACTGCATATCAAATGGGTTTCATCCGATTAACCCCTCAAGGCAACCTCCCTTGGATACAACTAGCCCTCAATCAGATCAGGGAGCTGCCCCCCTTCAAATCCCCTCCCGATATGTCAGGCCTCTTCTGAATCTACAACAAACAGCAGCCCCTCCCCGGAGACAAAGGAACTGCGAATACTGACCTGGGCCGGGAGGAGGAGGACAAAGGAGAAACAACCAAAGTTACCAAACCCTTCTGGGAACGTGGAGGACAATCTTCCGATAAAATGAGATCGGACACAAGAAGGAGAGATGAAGTGCTCGGGCAACCATTATATGGCAACCTCTGTATCAAAGACGAGAGGGTGGAGAGCATACCACTCACAAGGTCAAATTCTAAATGGGGCCTCTGGTTAGAGAAAGGAGTGTGGCAAGTCCAACATCGCTGGAGCGAATCAACAAACAACTGGAAATCCGAGAAGGAATGAAGAATAACACTAACAGGAAGCCACAACTTAAAAGCTAACCTCTCCCTCATCCTCGAAGCCATACCGGTAGAATGGGGACGTCTGCTTAAGATCAAACAAAAGTTTAAGATCAAGCAAAAGTGGCTCTAGGAAGAGGAACAACGGATCAAACAGATCCCCAGGAAGTTTTGAGAATAGTAAAATGTGAAGCACACAGCAATGAATGGATACTCTGTTCCATCTACCCTATAGAAGAACCAGGCAACCCACCGAGCCGCCTTTACAAAGAACTCAGAATTGAAGGCTCTTTCAAGGTAGAAACACTAAGAAGCACCAGAAGTATAGAAGGAGAGAGAAACGGAGTCTACAAACCAGACACAAGCATACAAAACCTGGAAGTAGATCCACCAGAATGGTCATGGAGCACCCCAAGCCGCCATGCACTAACAGACTACACCCCCACGCTACATGCTAAACTCGAAAACAATCAATATCAAGCCTACATAAAAAAAGATGGAAGAAAGAAGAAAGCACGCTCAACCGCGCAATAATA